GGCCTTGCAGAGCAGGCTGGAGAGCGTGGTGGCCTTGGTCTGGAACGAGGTTGGAAATGGCATGTATTCTGAATTAGAGCTGACCAGACTCGCTGACAGAGAGGGAGGCTGACCTGGGCTTTGGATTGCTGGCAGGTGTCGGTTGACCCTGGGGGAGTGGGCAGCAAGGTCTCGGTCCCTGCCTATCTCTGTCTTTTAATGTTAGTAAGCGGATGGACGCAGAGTCCCCTCGGGGCGAGTCTCCTTAGCCAGCTGAGAACTGGAAACTGGTGTGGTGTGCAAGGATCACAAGCCGGCCCCTTGGTCGTTCTCTGAAAGGATGAAGTTGATCATATGCACTGTAGTGGGTGGAAGCGCCTCCCCAAACATGTGCTCACGTCCTAACTGGCGGTACCTGTGCATGACACCTTACGTGGGCGTGGGTCTGGGCAGGCGTAAGCAAGTTAAGATGGGTCATACTGGGTTAGGGTGGGCCCCAGTCCCGTGACTGGTGTTTCCATAAGAGACCATTTGGACACCGACACAGAGACACAGGGAAGAACGCCACGTGAGGACAGAGACAGAGATTGGCATGTGCGTCTGCAAGGCAAGGACCCCAAGGATTGCTGGCCACTCCCCAGCGGGAGAGAGGCACGAACAGGCTCCTTCGGAGCTTCTAGAAACAGCTCTGCCCACACGCTGATCTTGAGCTTCTGGACTCCAGAACTGGGAAAGAACAATCCCTGCTGCTTCCGGTGCTCAGTTTCTGGTTCTTCGCTGTAACAGCAGCCCAAGGAAGCCGGTACCTGGATACAGCCCCCTTCACTGTCCCAGCATGCTGCACCTTGTCCCACAGAGTCCCTCAGTGCCCTCCAAAGCTAAGCATTGTGGGGGTCCCTGTTTTACAGAGGACATGAAGGCTCAGCAGAGATAAATGGCCTTCCCAAGGTGAAGCACTAGTACGTGGTAGAACCAGGAAGTGTACCAGGTCGTCTCCATCTAGAGCCCATGCCCTGGCCGTCACGGACCCGCCGTGTCAGGAGCCGGGGTGCGGGCACACTTCGCCCCCTGCGCCACCTCGCAGTCACCCAGCTAGCTGCCAGCGGACACCTGCGCTCCCCCTCCGTCTGCTCTGCTGTCTTGCACGGCCCCCCAGAGGATGCGTGGGAGCAGATGTGGCTTGGAATCCGACAAGAACGTCACGTCAGTGCATCCTCTCCATCTGGTCGGAACCTCGCAGGAGAGGAAGGACAGCGAGCAGACAGCCCACCCCTCGGCGATGCTGCCGACCGAGTGCAGCCCCTGTACGCAGGTGGGACAGCTAACAGGCTGCTCCACTGGCAGCAGCAGTGTGGAGTGTGGTCGCTGCCGCTGCCGGAGCTGTAAGCTTTTCCCCGCCATTTCCTCCTGTGTGATGCTTGGGGCCCGGGAGGAGGAAGTAAGGTCTCCTCCAGCCACTTACTGCTTGGACTCGGGGCCACGTCTGTGCTGTGGGTGGGCACCAGGGCCCCGCACTGCGCCTGCGCCGAGTTCCCAGCGCAGCGTGGTGCCCGCGGGTGGACTGGACCGTGGCCGCAGCGCACACTCAGACCGAGCTCGCTGCAGAGTCAGGGTGTGCCTGTGGGAGAGACGGGAGGCGACTGTCCCGCCTGTGACTGTGATGTCCCCAGTCTCTGCAGGCGGGTGGGTGGGAAACGGGGCAGAGGGCAAGGATCGGGACCTGGATCTGAAACGCCTCAGCAGGAACTTGAAGACGGTGGCCCCACAGCACCGCGCTTGGTACTTTGTCCTCGGAGAGTCAGGTGGGGCGTGGTGAAGAGGGTGAACTTAGAGGACAGGTGACCTGGGACATGCCACGTCCTTGTGGAGCGACCTTGGACAAGTCACCTGGCTGCTCGCCTGTCAAGTAGGGGCAGGTGCAGTACCTGTGCGTCACATTCGTGAGGGAGTTAAGGGAGATGATGCAGTGTGAGTAGGACATGGGTGTGGTTATCTTTACCAACCCAGAGCCGGCCCCGCACAGGCCGCCCCCGGCATTGCCTCTGCTCCCCCCAGCTCCGCGCCGGTCCTCGTCCAGTCGCCCGCGTGGCGCCAGTGCTGCTCGGTCTGCTGGATCTCCCGGACTCTGCTGCAGACACAGGTTTGCTGGAGCTCAGGGAGCTGGGAGTTGGGCTCAGGAATTAGAGCTTTGGAACCTGAGTGCTCACTTCCTACAGGACGTCTGGGCCCAGGTGTGTGGACCCCTGAGGCAGGGGCTCTTCCCTTGGCTGGAAGGTGCCTCCCCATTTCTGCCCTGCTGGTCCTGGGTCTCCTCTTAACCATCACACCCCGGAGCTTCTGTTCCAGTCAGGGCAGGGCCTCCATTTAAACGCTCCCAGAACACCTCACATTTCTGTCTCAGCTGAAGTGGGTCATTGCTGGCGCAGGAGTGAGCGTCATGAGGAAGGGGTTTGTCTTTCTGCGTCCCCGGCTCCTCCCCGTGCCCGGCTCCTGTGGACTGAATGATTGGGCTAATTGGCTAGCCTTCAGGGCCCGGAGAGACCGGGAAAAGTGACACGTTTGGAAGGCAGAGTGAATCCGTCCCTGGTGCCTCACCTAACTGAACCTCTGCAAAGAAACTGACTGAAAAAAGTGCAAACCAAACCCAAGAATTAAACAAACCAAGGTGACGGGCCACATCTGACCACGCTGGGTGACAGTGCCGGTGTGAACTTAGATGTCTATTGCTACATTAACAAGTCGCCCCAAAACTCGGAGGTTTAAGCCAATAACAACTGTCTCTATCTCTCATAGTCCCTGTGGGTCGGGGCATCGGGGTGCTTGCTGGTGAGTTGTGGTTCAGGGTCTCTCCTGTGGTGGCTGGAGCTGGGACAGCTGGGCACTGAGCAATTTGTGGAGTCCCAGGGCCTCTCCGCGTGGTCTCATCCTGTGGCTTTACTAGTATGGTGGCCTCAGGGCTCCGAAGGCAGGTGTCCCAAGAGAGACTGGTGGAAGCTATGGCCTTAGAGATCCACAGGGCCACTTGCGCTGTATCTATCTGTTGAGGCCACCACAAAGCCTGCCCAGGTTCAGGGGAGAGGCCACAGACTCTGCCTCCTGATTGAGGGGCACTGGATATTTATAGACATGTTTTAAAACCACCACGGAACACCGCTTCCTGTATGCCATCGGGAAGCTCTCGGAGAAGGGGCCGAGGGAGTCCTACGGAAAAGGAAGGCTTTCTCTGCCCGGCGTATCTCACTTAGGCCCGTCCGTGTTGCCACAGATGGCAGAATTCCATTCTCTTTATTGCTGAGTAATATTCCAGAGAGAGAGAGTGTGTGTGTGTGCGTGCGTGTGTGCGTGCGTGTGTGTGCGTGCGTGTGTGTGCGCTCTGGAAAAGCTGAGGGGGAATAAGAGGTACAGGCTTCCAGTTACAAAATAAACAATCACAGGAATGTAAAGTACAGAGTCAAAAATATCCTAAGAACTGTGTGTGCTGACTGATGGATACCAGATTCATTGGGGATCACGTCGGAAGGTATGTGCGTGCTGAATCACTAGGTTGTACACCTGAAACTAAAACAGTACTACGGTGTCAACCCTACTTTATAGAGAAAAGAAAAGGGAAGCTTGGTTAGAATGTTAAGGAGCAAAGGAAAGTCCCCTTCTCGCCACCGTGAATGGACGCTGGGAAATTGTCAGGAAAATCAAGACAGAAGTATTGTGCTACTGCGGGTGCCTCCTAGCCCCCATGTTGAGTGAGTCAGTTCCTCCCAGCAACACTGCTGGTGACCAGTTCGAGAGCAGGAAGGCAGCTGTTAGAATGCAGACTCCGGCCCTGGGTGCTCAGCGGCGCCCAGAGCCGCGGACCGAGTGCCTGGGTCCTGGGCCAGGCTGCAGGCACCGGCCTTTCCTAAGAACGGAGTCTGCCTTGTTTTCAGTCACCTGATGATATTTGGCTTCCTGAAATTTTTATTCTCATTAAGATTTTGAGCTACTCAAGGAGTAATTTTGTCTTATAGGATCTCTAAGAAACATAAAAGCACTCAAACTAGTTTAATTTAAGTAAATGATAATGTAATTGGAGGGATGCGGAGGTTTCTAATGGGAAACAGCTGGGCCTCAGGAGAGACTGGAGCCGGGAGCTGGAAACAAGGTCTCCGCTCATCCTCTGACCTTCCTTCCTCCTCACACGTCTGTTCCTTCTTGGCCTGCCTGTGGCGAGACGAACCGCTCCAGGGCCCCAGGACTGACTACTTGGAGTGTCCTGCTTGCAAACCCTTAGGGAGAGGACCTGAGTGGCTCAGCTTAGGTCTGTTATCTCCCAAAGCTGTGGCCACATGGGTCCACTGCCCAATCAGAAGGTTCTTCCTAGAGGCTTCTGGGGAATTGCACCTGCTGGTCACTGTTCCCTCCAGCATAGTCAGGACCAGTGGGAACAATGGTGTGTTGTGAGCCACACCAACTAACATGCCCCCATTGTGGCCACCGCTGCGTGGAAGGAGGGGCCCCAGGACAATGGAGAGGATGTGGAGATGTTACATTACTCATCCCTGTAATTATGCCTGAAGCCTCTCTTTCTCTCTGGGTGCAGCATCAGAGATGTTCTTGCTCGTTTATTGCTGTATTTCCGGAGCTTACCTGGCTCGTACGGAATATTAAATAGTTGAGTGGCTAAGAGCCCATATTCAGTTTTATCAGGAATTCCCTTCGTCAACAAATATTTATGGAACATCTACTGTGTGTCAGGTACTAATCCAGGGTCTTGGGTTACAACAGGGAACAAAACAGGCAAAGACACTTGCCCTCATGGGGTTTCTATTCTAGCCATGTTGCTGGGTATTGATCTATATCCCAAAGGGATCAATACTTGGTCATTTCTGTTGGTTGGGTTCAGCCATTGCAAGTGTGGGGTCTGTGGAAAGTCACCCATTGTCTCGGTGTCAGTGGAAGGCCTGTGGACAAAGTTCGGGGAGGACTTGCATGGCATTAGCTCCCTCGCCGTCCAGCCACGCTGACCTGCTTGCTCTCTGCCCCAGGTCATGCTCTCAGAGCGGAAGGGCACAGACGAGCTCTATGCCGTGAAGATCCTGAAGAAGGACGTGGTGATCCAGGATGACGATGTGGAATGCACCATGGTGGAGAAGCGCGTGCTGGCCCTGCCCGGGAAGCCGCCGTTCCTGACCCAGCTGCATTCCTGCTTCCAGACCATGGTAACTCGTTTGGGGCCCTGGCACTGCACCTCCAGGGTTTCGGTGGGTTTGGCCAAAGCCATCCCAAAGAGACACCTGGGTCCTTCCCATCATGTGGTAGAAAAACGTGGGGCCCGGAGAAGGCTGCCGAGAATTTCAGAGGTGGCCACGGAGAAGCACTCTCCCGAGGCAGGTGCTGTTTCAACAGAGATAAAGGAACTCAGGCGCTTGGTTTTATAACAACAGAGCAGGGCCTTTCTCTGACAGCAAGAGGTGACTTGGGGACAGAAACTCAGGACTTTTGGTCTCATAATAGGAGATGTAATAGCAGGTGGGAATGAGGGCAGATTCTTTGCTTAAACACTTCAGTACCTTCTGCAGGTTGCATGGCCCTCCTGGGAGGAGGGTTGCCTGAGAACACAGACCCCAGAGGACTCCTAGGGGTGGGGCACATTGTCCTGGGGGAGGGGCTCGAGCGCTCCGAGCTGTAGCTCCCGAGAAGGGGACATTTGTGCACTGTCTGCTGTTGACTGTGACTCCAACTCTGTGACAGGAGAGACACCCCTGTAAGAACCTCTTAGCCTTGTTCCTTTTTAAATTAGACCTTTGCCTCTACACCTCAGGAGGGGAAGGCCAGACACCCTATTGCAAAGAGGGACAAAGTTAATTCTTGCCTTTGGGGCTTCTAAGGGCCAGTGGCCCTCTGATTTAAAGATGCTTTAAGGGAGTTTTCATGGTGATTTGACTCGTCCAGCTCCTACATCCATGCTAATTTTAGAGCCCAACCCCTAGGTGAGCAGTAACATATAATTTAAAGAAGGGGACTTCCTCTCTCCAACGTCACCAGCTCCTGTGAGCTACAGGTTGAGACAGCCAGCCCCGAAGGCCCAGACCTGGGTTGGGGGAGGGTCTCTCAGTGCAGACCAGCACCAGGCCCAGGGCGGCCCTGGGACAGAGGCACAGAGCTACAGCTCAGCTCCTGCTCTGTTCTAAATGGTCTTCCAAGAGACCTGGGTTCAAATCTGGCTCTGTCACTTGCTGACTGAGTGACCCTGGGCAAATGACACAACGTCTTTGGGTGACAGTTTTTTAAGTCTGTAAAATGGGTGAGGTAATAGTAGCCATATCCGAGGCTGCAGTGAGGGGGACATGAGACGGCACATGAGCAACGCGTGACACAGCACTTGGTACCTGGTGAACGCTCAGCAGTGTGTGATTTATTTCACAAGCACTGGCCTTGGCCTTGGCCAAGTCCTGTTGTAGAGGGCTGAGTAAGCTAGGCCCTGGTTTTGAGAAGGTTACGGTCTTAGAACAGAAGCACAGGTAAAAATGTAATGCAGTAGGGGCTGTGATAATAGGCGGGGGGGGGGGGGGTGTCTGCAGATCGTTGCCCGACCGCCACGTGGTGTCTGCGTTTTGGATGATGAGATGATTTGCTGCCGGGGCCGGGTTCTCCAAGCCCTGGACAACTGCCCTACCACAGGTGGCCGGTCAGGGGAGGGAACACTTCATGCAAACGTGTGTAGTAGTCCCCGGGGGGCTTTGGCCCACCAGCCTGGTGTTGGGGTCTGCTGCGTGACAAGAGGCTACAGAACAAAGACCCTTCGCTCCAGTGCAGGCAGGACGGGGAGCTGGACTCGTGTCTGCCAGAGTACGGGACAGGCCCGCTGTGCAGAGCGCTCTGGGGCGGCCTGAAGGTGACTGGGGGTAGACTTCCAATCACGCTCCCCTTTCCAGCTCACTGAAGTTTTTCCAGGAACCTCAAGGAGCAAGTGTCTGTTTGGTGCGGCTGCCCGCAGCCTCTCCCTAACACTTGCCTCTCTAACTGCGAGCGAGCCCCAGGCTTCGGGGTCCAGCTTTGGCAACCGTGGTGTCTAGGTCATTGTTTTCCTTCTATGTTGCATATTTTTTTCCACAGAATTCTTCATTTACAACGGCACTATAAAGTCTTTTAATTTTGAAATATTATAAAAGGAATACAGAAAATCACACAAAGTTATTGTTTAGTGGGTTGTTATAAGGTTAAGTTCCTTATGCCCCCAGCCGGGTGGAGAAGTTGCCCTGCATTCGAATCTCTATCTTCCCCCAGTTGTAGCTGGACTTCCTCGCATGTCTTGGTAGTTTTATCACTATGGTTGAATCTTTCCTGTTTTTAGAAATGGGATGTGTTTTCTAAGTCTTCTAATAGTGTCATTTCTCGCTCCATCCCTTCCATCTTTCCTTTGGTCCGTGTTTCAGTCTGTGGGGGTCTGGGCTGTGACCCACAGTGTTTCGCTGTCTGGACGTTGCCAAGTGCGCTGTCGTGGGGCCCCCCACGTGTGCTCTCTGTCCTCCGCGCTTCCTGCAGATTGGTGGCTAGACCCAGGCTTGGTGCGACTCGCGCTGGATCCCTTTGACAAGACCTTAAGTGTGGGTGTTCTCTCCTCTGAAGGCAAATACTGTCCGTCTTCCTCTCTTTCTGTGACACTGGCGACCGCTGGTGCTTGGTGCCCAAGTCACTGAGGGTTGTAAGACGTCGGCACCCTCATAACATTCCCTTTTCATTTATTAGTTTGAATTCTGTAATAAAAACACACGAGATTTTGCCCTGCTGGTTTGGCTCAGCAGTTAGAGTGTCAGCCCACCGGCCAAAAGGTCTTGGGTTCGATTCCTGGTCAAGGACACATTCCTGGGTTGCAGGTTCAATCCCTGGCCCCTGTCGGGGTTGTGTGGGAGGCAACCAATCAATGTCTCTCTCCCTTCCTCTCTCTCTCTCTCCCCCTCCCCCCTCCCTCCCTCCCACTGTATCTAAAAATCAATGGAAAACATCCTCAGGTAAAACCACAAGATCCCTCATCTCGTGCCTGGTTCCCCAGTGGTTCAGTTCATGCAGGGTAAGTGCTTGGTTCTTCCCGTTATTTAACAGTTTCCATGAATTGGGTCATTATTATGCTCTAAAAGGGACTTAAGTTTGCTTTTAAAATAAAAATTTTGAGTACGAGCCAATGCAAAAAACAGTACAGGTGAGCAATAATTCACGTCCTCTGGGGTCTTGGCAAGATGGGGAAGGCCGTGTTTTTTCTAGTCCGAACCTGGGAGGTAAGGCCCCCAGGACGTCACGTGGGGGCTGCGACAGGGCTGGCCTAGACTCTCACCCCTTCCCAGTCTTCTCTTCGTGCCACCAGGGTCCCCAGATTGCCTCGCTGGAAACAGACGAGGAGACCTTGCTGTCGAGGTGCAGGCTGGGCTCACCTGGGGCGGTTTTCAGTTTCCGTGGCGCGTGTCGCGATGGGGAAAGTAGTCCTCTGATGAATGTTCCTTAAAGTTCAATATCTCCATTTGTAATTGACTGTTTTAAAAACGATAAATTAAATTCAAAATTGCTCCTGACTGTTGCGCTTCCCCACTGCTCACGTGCCAGTGGGCTCAGCATGCTTCCCGGGCAGAGGTGGCCCAGCAGCCAGGCGGCTGCCCTGTGCTCAGGTCCCCTCCGGGAGGGGTTGGACGCCTCGAGAGCCCAGCACGAGGAGTGCAGTGGTGCTCGTCCTTCGTGGGGACAGAGCCGAGCACATGCTGGAGGCCAGGAGAGGACAGGCAGCTTTCTCGTGGAGGGTCAGACCACTGGGCCACCCTGCCTCCAGGGGCTGTGCTGTGGGGAGGATGTGACGTGATAGCAGTCGCGCTTGCCTCGGGAGGTGTGCCCTCTGGGAGCGCGAGGCGGCGGCGGGGAGAGCCGATGCCCCTGGCACGTCACCTCCACTCCGTGGCAGGCGCTTCGCGAGGGAAAGGCCCCCATTAAATTATTTTCATTTGTTGGGGTTTTATTTTGGCTGAGCACATCTATCTTAAGTTTACATCACTGAACTTGGTTCCAAAGACATCGGAATGCCTACTGTTGTGAAGCACAGGACTAAGGATCACAAGCCACCTGACACCCTTGTAGGTCCTCTCGTGGGCCCCACTCCACAGATGAGGGTTCAGGGCCAGGGTGTGAGCCCAGGCAGCCAGGCGCGGAGGGGCCTTACGTTAGCCTCTGCTCTGGAGTGTGTTGAGTGTGACTCACACAGCTTGCACTCCCAGACACCCGGGGGTGGCATCCCAGCACCGGCCTGTGTCCAGGGTCAGCGGGCCTGAGCTCTCAGTGCCCCGTCCCTCAGCCTCCCACCTCTGAGTATCTGCCATCCTGTGGGCCTTCAGAAACTTCCTTTCTAGGCTCCCCAGACATACTGTGACAAGGGGACCACCTGTCATCCACTCTGCAGGTGGAAGGACTGAACATCTGGGATGTCAGGTAGTTTCCCCTGAACACAGCAGGGGGCCCGGGCCACCGCACTGAGCCCCAGCGTCACCCGCACGCACGGTGTGTTGAGTTGCCACCACAAAGGCCCTCACAGTGCTGATGACAACGGCGGAAGCGCCCAGCAGCGGTGCCTGGGTGAGGAGGAGCCCAGCTCCCTATGGTGGTCTCTCATGTTACCCTGCTGACACTCAGTGGGGGGCCTGTTACTGTCCCCAGTTTACAGAGAAGGACACTGGTATTCAGAGAGGTTCAGTACTCCTGCAGTGTCACAGGGGGAGGGGCGGCACTGGGCTGGGCCCTGCAAGGCCCAGGACCCGCACTCGGACGTCTCACACACTGCCCTGCGCACACTGCCCCTGCGCACGCCGCCCCTGCGCACACTGCCCCTGCACACACTGCCCCTGCCCGCACGCGGCCCCTGCGCACGCCGCCCCTGCGCACACTGCCCCTGCGCACGCCGCCCCTGCGCACACTGCCCCTGCCCGCACACGGCCCCTGTGCACGCCGCCTCTGCGCACACTGCCCTGCGCACACTGCCCCTGTCTGCACACTGCCCCTGCGCACGCCACCCCTGCGCACACTGCCCCTGCCCGCACGCGGCCCCTGTGCACATTGCCCCTGCCTGCACACTGCCCCTGCGCACTCTGCCTCTGCCCGCACACTGCCCCTGCCCGCACACTGCCCCTGCGCACACTGCCCCTGCGCGCACACTCCCCCTGCCTGCACACTGCCCCTGCGCACA